TAGAAGAAAAGCAGGGTTGTGGTAAGGAGGTAGAGGAGATGCACAGGAGTGTGTTCTTCCGCAGACCACTCCACTAGAAAGTAAGCCCTATGGGGACAAGGACTTGGCCTGTCTTGTTTCCTAACCTCGTAGGACAGGAATCTTAAGCAGGGAAGGAGCCTTTCTGAGGAAAATGCCAACACCGAGGAAAATGCCAACACTTTTGTAAGATGGACAGCACAATAATAGTAAAAGACATCAACTGATTTCTTGGATCCAATTTATCCTTAAAAACCAAGTAGAGCCTGGCTGGTGTGGCTCACTGGTTGAGCGTTGACCCCTGCACCAAGAGGTCGCCAGTTCGATTCCCGGTCAGGGCACATGCCCAGGTTGTGGGCCCGATCCCCAGTGGGAGGGCATGCAGGAGGCGGCCAATCAATGTTCTCTCTCATTAATATTTTTATCTCTCTCTCCCTCTCCCTTCTTCTCTAAACATCAATAAAAATAAAAATAAACAAACAAACAAAACCAACTAGATTTTTCATTATGTGAACCAAGTGATTAAAGTACTTTGTGTTGGTTTCTGTTCTTTGCAACCAAAGCAGTATTGGCTAATATACCAGTAAATGGAAATTTCAAATTAAATCAACCAGCAACCAATTAGATTTTAAAGGGAGTGTACTGTCATAAGCCCAAGCCTGGTACCAAGGGTCCTGTGATATGGCTCCAGCTCTGTGTAGCCTCCAGGCACCCAAAGCCACCTGGTAGGAAGCGGCAGGTCAAGGGGAACAGCGGGGGGCTCCAGCTGGCACACATTTCCTGCCTGTCCTTCAGCCCTTTGCTCAACCTTCTGTGTGAACAGTATCCGGGTTTGTGTTAGGAAAGGCTGCAACTAATTGTACTACCTCTATCATGATTGATTTAGGGATGGGCATACGGTACAATTCGGCCCAACCAGCTACAAGAAGTCCAGGGGGCCCTTCTGGAAAAGTTGTCTTTGCGCTTCCAAAGGGATTTAGAGAAAGATGCCCTTTTCCCCCTTCCAACCTTTGACTATTGTTTTAAAAACATGATACTTAGGCCTGTTGCAACCATCTTGTGCTGTTGATACAGGCCAGGGTGGGCTGCCTGCCAAAAGCCAATACTGTAGAGACAGGGGCTGGTGGAAGGAAAAATCGGTTTATTTCGGAGCCAGCAGCCTGAGAAGATGGTGGACTCTTGTCTCAAAGACCATCTTACTATCTCAGTGCAGGATTTTATGACCAGGGAAGGGGAAGGCGGAACAAGGGGGTTGTGGGCTCTCTGTCGAGGGTGCTGCGTGGGAGTCAGCACAATCTGCTTCCATAGTCTCACAGAGCCAGGCCAGCGATGGTTTGGTTTCATCATCCTGCCTTTTGTCATCCTGCTTTTAAGGTTGAAGTCTGGCCAGTCTCCCAGAGCTCCAATGCCAAAGGTTGGAGTCTGTTCCTTTTGAAGTCAGTCCCCATAATAATAATAATAATAATAATAATAATAATAATAATTCTCCTCCTCCTTCTCCTCCTCCTCCTCCTCCTCCTCCTCCTCCTCCTCCTTCTCTTTCTCCTTTTTTGCCAGCGTATTAAAAGGAACCTTTATTACTTTTATAACAGCCTCTGTGTTCTCATGCTTTCTTGCCAGATGCCTTGGGAGCAAGTACATTCTGAGCTGGAGCTTGCGGACCCTTGGGAGCTTTTGGAGGTGCTGCCTTCTGGCCTGCAGGTTTCTGGGCAGGAACCTTCTGGGCTGGAGCCTTCTTGCCTGCAGCGTTGACCTTTTTTGCTGAAAACTTTGCAGCAGCAGCTGCTGCAGCTGCCCCTGTACCTTTAGTAGCAGGTCCTTTTTTGGGAGAAGCTTTCAGGAGAGCTGCCTTTTGAAGCTTGCTAACTTTAAGCTTGATTATTAGGTTCCTTGTTTTCTTTGCCTTCATGACTTTGTAATGATCAACATCTGTCATCTTGGCTTTCTTTTCTCTGGCTTCAATCTTCTCGGCCCATCTCATGGCTGCCCATTTTGTATTGGTATCTGCCTTCTGCCAGGCTTGTCAAACATCCTTCTGGCAGGCACTGTGTGGGACCTTGAGGATTAAGCCCATGAGCTGCAGGCATTTGAAAGGCATAGCCTGTCTCTTTACTTGAGTACAAGGTCCATCAACGAAAGCCCTGTCCTGATTGATAACATCTATGTCCGTGACCTGCTTCCCCACAGGAGGCCCAAAGGTGACATAGGCCACCCGGCCAACCTCCACGAAGCACCTGAACACTGTGCACTATGTGAGGCCCGCTGGGCGCCCTTCCCCGCCCCCACTGCATGGCCGCCAGACCCGGAGTCTGCGACTGGGATACCAGTCCCCACCATTCTTAAACATTCCGTTTATCTGCAGTCACATATTAGTTAACAGGTCATCATTTACAGAAACAATGGTAAAAGTGGGATGGGTTACACTGTGAGGAAATAAACCCAAAGACAAAAGGCAAACAGCCATGGGGGTGGCAGAGCAAAACCATAGCGAGGTCTGTCCACAGCAGGCCGACAGCTCTGACTCCTCTTGTCCTCTGAGCCCATGGAGCCATGGGACGCCCTGAGGGTTTTCATACTCCCTCAGGGTTGTGGTGTCCTAGGACAGGGGTGTTCCCCCATAATCTTGCCAGGCACTGTAAGAACGCACTACAGCTTACCCTTACTTTCCTTATGGAACCATTACAACAAGTTTTCTTTCAAAAATCTGCAGACCTAAAGTAGGCACTAATCTCTATTTTTTCCATGCCCCCCCCCTTCCCCCGGGATGTATGTAAATCTCTTTCAAGAATGCTCTCTCCAACCCTGGCTGGTGTGGCTCAGTTGGTTGAGCATCATCCTGTGCACCAAAAGGTTGCTGGTTGGATTCCTGGTCAGGCCACATACCCAGGCTGTGGGTTTGATCCCCAGTTTATTCATTCAAGAGGCAACTGTCTGGTGTTTCTCTCTCTCTCAAAAAAAAAAAAAAAATTTAAAAAAAGAATGCTCTCTCCATACCCCCACAGAGCTCCTAAGGCAGCAGTGGGACAGGTCTATAGGAGTGTTAGTCTCCCCTTTTTGTCAACAACCCTAAACATTGAGTGAACTTGGGTGAACTTCACTATGCTTATGTACAATTGCGGCTCAAAAATCTTGCAGCCCCTTCCAAAATAAATATATGTATACTTTATCCTCATTTACATGGCCATGCCTAATATTTGTGGAGCCTAGTATAATCTCTCTGCTATTTCACAGAATCTCAGAGGCTTGTTTTTTTAAATTAAATTCAGATGTTCTGTGTTTTAATTAAATGATCCATTTCTTGGCTTCCCAATGATCAGTGACCATGCTCACTTTGCTTAATTAAAGGTTAATTTGATCAAAAAGACAGTCTGTGCCTTGAGGGAGTCTCCTGTTGTACAATATGATCATCCTCATGACTAACCATTTCCTATTGTGTACTCCTGAAGTTGGAACTATTTGCTGTTCCTTTCTTTGTCCTTAACTGCCTTTCAATGCATTCTAACATGCCAAGAATGTTGGATTCCCCTCTCAAATTACTGTTGATCACAATCAGGCTGTATCTCTCCCTTTATCACCTAGTTACTATAGGAAAGTATGAAATGGCATTGATTCTGGAACAGAATGAACGTCATGGGCAATATTGTGGAGAGGAAACCATTATCGAGTGGTCCTCTCTCCCAAATAACTTAATGTCACCTCTTCACAGTGGTTCCATTGTCAATGCATTTTGCTGCTTTGCTGTCGAGAATGTCTCTTACTAGCTTAGTATCTATAGTGGATACATTTTCACATAACAGCAGCTATGTGATGCATATCTTCATCTGTAACACCGTATCAACAGCTTCCAAACTCAGAGGGTGAGAGATACAAACAATTCTCATGGTCTCCACCAAAGCTAAGTGTTAGGGTTTCCTGATCTGAGGAGGAGAGGAGGCAGAGTCTAATATAAAGTCTTAATTATCCTCCTTTGGAGTCTCCTAAATAATATTCCAGTGATTTCCTTGAGGTTGAATTGCTCCCCTCTGTTTTCTGGTGTAGCTAGGCAGTCCCTATCCTGTGAATTCCCTACACTGAGAAACATGGGGTGTCTTCCTTTTTCTTTCAACAGCCTTTTATTTGGCACCTACCACATATCAAGCTTAGAAGAAACAGTGGGGAAAGGCTCCACCGAGCCCTTTCCTCAGTGATGGGCCAGCAAAAATCCCAGAATCTGAACCAAACTTTCCTGCTCAGGAATAGCCCTTTCTCTCCTCGTTGGTGTCTAACCCCAAACTATCTTGTCTTAGGAAGAACTGTCCCAATAGCAGTCTCTTAAAAAGTCAAGGTAGTTTTGAATAGAGGTGACAATATTGGGTATTTACAAATAGAATAGTAACAGATTTATAAATTCTGAATGGCATATTCTGCCCCAATTTGTAAGCCAGGCACACTTGGTGCTCTGGAAAGTAGAAAACGTTAAGGTAGAATTCAAGTCAAGTGTTTCAGAAATCTTACAGGTAAAGCCTTGCAGTGGTTGCTAGGCAACCTGACAGACTCTCAAGTGAGGACCAACTTGCCTCCCACACTGGACCATCTCTCCCCAGTGGTGGGACGCGGAGGCCCCATTGGTCCCCGTCTCCTCTTACTCGGCTCCAATTGGCCGCAGAACCTCTCACTCCGCTCTCGTTGGCTCTCGCCGTCTCGCGCCGCTCTGTCATTGGCAGGCCGGTTCTCGGGCCACTCGACGTCACTCTCTCACCCCACTTCCTCTGCTCTCCGGACTTTGTCACCGCCCCTTCTCCCGCCCTTCCAGCCACGAGGGAAAACCTTAGCGAGCGCCCGCCTCCACCTTCCTTCTGATTGGTAGAAATCGAGCTGGGGGGCGGGCACTGCCGGCCAAACTGCGGGCCGCGATTGGCTGTTCGAGCCACTGCCCCGCCTCACACCGCCTCTCGGCGGTGCCGGAGTCGGGCGGGTGGGCGGCTATAAAGCTGGGTGCGAGGGGAGCCGCCGCGCTCTGCGCCTTCTGGGTTGCTCCTTCTCCTGCCCTGCCGCCCGGTTACCTTCGGGTGAGTGCCTCGCGCGGAGGACCGGAGCGGATGGCTGAGGGGCCGCGGGCGGCGTGAGGGCCGGGCGGAGGCGGTGCCCTTGACTAGGCCCAAAGGAGCGCCGGCGCGGTCCGGCCCGGGGCAGGGGTGGATCTGGCCCCGGAGGGTGGGCCGCCGAGAGTCAGGGCGGCGCGGGCTCCCTGCAGGACCTGGGCCCAGCGCGGCGCTGTGAGCAGGGGCCGGGGACACTGGTGTGGGCTGGCGAGTTGCGAAGGGCTGAGGGCGAGAGGCGTTGAAGGTTATGGTTGTAGTGACAGAGTCCGCCGGGAGCTGGAGGGGCCGGGACCCCGAGAGGCGATGGGGTGGGGTGTGTGCATTAGGAGGGGCGAGACAGGCGCCGGACTGTCAGGGCGTTTCCGCAGCCTTGGGTCCAGGTGGACGCGCAGGGTTGGAGGATCCGGCTTAGGTGGTAGGTGGCAGGGGGTGTGTCCTGCGCCCCAGACCTAGTTGATGGGAGCCAGGAAAGCGGCCCACATTGCTGCCCTAGCCCAGGTGCAAGAAAGCATCCCGGCCGTGCTTGAACCTGGCCGAGTCCTTGTGCCTTGGCTGCTTGTGACTGTGCTTGTTTCAGATACAACCAGATTCTTGCCTCCCACCTCCCCGCCTCCATGTTTTTTATGCCCATTTTTAAAAATAGGTGTTCTGCAGTTCCGGACCCCCCACCTGCTCAGAGCTTCAGGACCAGCCTGACCTGCTGGGATGATGTGATGGACAGGCACCCACAGGGCCTTCACATACAAGAGGTTTTGGGTTAAGCCAAGGACATTTCAAAACCAGGTGTATGGGTCTTTGGAAACTATGTCCTTCCTGCCTTGACTAGGGGTAGAGAGAGGATTGCTCACAGCCACGTGGGAGGAGGGATTTGGACCTCAGGTGATGTGAGGTTGCCCCTGCTTGTCGTGCTGGCCCTGTGGCCTTGGGCCTAGGGCTTCTCAGGCTTCTTTGGGGGCTCACCTGTGCTGTAGCCCTTCCCTCAGGGGGCTCTCGCCAACCTGCTGCAGCCGGGTGCTGTGTTCTGTTGCTGCTTAGTAACAGGACAAATGGAAGTGCTCATACAGTTAACAGATTTTTCCCTCTGAGATGGTGTGTGGACTTCAATTGCACAGATTCTGTTAGGAGGAAGATTGAGAGTCCTTGACACGTACCTGTGCCAAATGGTTCTTCGGACCTTGAGACATCTAAGTACTTTGTGTTCTTTCTTTAATCAAAACTTTGTTTTTAAAATTTTAGTTATTTTTGTATAGATAAGAAGAGCAGGGATATCATGTTTTATGGGGAGTAGAGTAAGACATTCTTTTCTTTGTGTCTAGCCTTTGTAGTTTTCTCTCTGCTAAGTTTGCCCTATTTTCAATTCTAGTTTAGTTCAGTTCAATTATACTTTAGTCAGCAACTCCAGTCCTCAGAAGGTGTTTCCAGTGGGAGAGTTAAACAGATGTTATGTTTGAAGTCAAAGAAGTCATCTGTTAGGCTAATTCTGGGTTTTGCTTTTGATCTTGTTTACTTAAATATTCCTACAGAATGCTTTTTACATCTTGTTTCTTTTAACTGGGATTGATTTTGAGAATTTTGGGTCAAGAATGTAGATACCTTTTCTCACAGGAAATGCAAAACTCTGATATTGATGTAATGTGTTTCCTTGGTACCCTAGAATTATTTAAACTCATAATCCAGTGGAACTGAATGTGGGGAAATGCAGTTGGTTGTGGATGGAGGAGCTTGATGGGCTATATATCAGAATCCGTATTTACTTTCATTTAGAAAGGAATATAAAGTTTTATAATTTTATGTTGGGTTCCTAAAAGAACAAATATAGAAGGGTGTGATATTTTTGTTTCTCAAGAAGGTGATATAGATTGAAAAGGTTGAGAAACATGTTACCCAGTCTAATGGGAGGGTGGTTAGGACTCAATTCCTAACAATCTATTCATCCTCAGATTGGCACTTGTGGTGCTCACTTGCTGTCTGTCAATTGAGTGTAGTCGAAGCAGTGGAGGGGAAGCTAATCTATTAAGCTCCCAGTCTTCATCTTTGTAGGGTTTGTGGTAGGAATGTGTGCATGTGGGAATGATTGTAAGACCAACAGATGTTCTCTTCTGACTATTTTGACTCCTTACATTTTTCAGGTTAGGATCTGGGAGCAATGGAAACCTACCATTTGCTTTGAACAACAACCGTAGAAAGACAATTTTCTGGCCACGCTTTGGTGCTGCAGCTCATCTTAAAAGTGGTAGCAAAAACAACTTAGTAGTGGGGGCTGCTGCAAGTATTTGAATCTACAAGATTTGTCCTCTCATTGTTATAACTCCAAATTCAGCCCCTTAAAAAATGGCACTTGTATGCCCTAGACTCCGAGGTCTCAAAGGGATTTCAAAAGAATGGAAATACAGTCCCTCCCCCAGGAAGACTTTAGGAACCCAGTGTGGATAAGAGGACCGCCCATAGTTTCCTTCTGAGAGTAGAATATGGAGACTTCGTTCGTTCGTGTGACTCACAGCCTGCGGTAGGCGTGCAGGGCCTGATTGGAAAACTCGGAAACCTTCCTGGAAGAAGTAGCTTATGGGAGGGTCTTGAAATATGAGTAGAATCTTTGATAAGCAGAGCAGTAACTCGGTATAGGAGGGCAGGCAAGGATGTCCATGTCTTATACTTAGAGAACTAGACCAGAGTGTATGGTTGTAGGCAAGGCTTTTGCGGGGGGGGTGGGGGGAGAGTTAATCACCCGAGGATATTTTTCAATTGATTTTTCGATAGAGTGGGAGAAAGGGAGGGAGAGAGAGAGAAAAACAAACATCTGTGTGTGAGAGAGAAACATCTATTAGTTGCCTCCCATACTCCATGGGCCCACGCTCTAACTGCTGTGCAAACCAGCCAGGGCAGAAGGCTTTCTTGACAGCAGTTTGCCTGCTTGCTCCTACCGTGGAAAGGCAGTTTATTCTCAGTCTCCTGGATGTCTCTCCTGTAAGAGTGAGAAAGATTACCAGGTGACTGCTTCTAGTTTATCTTGTACCCTAATGCGTACTGGATGAATTCCTCTGACCACCTGTTCGAATCAAGGCTGAGTGGGAGCCAGAGGGAGGAATTCAGAACACTGACTGGACCCCAGAGGAAAGCATCGAAGCAGGAACCTGGTTGGCCCTAGGCAGCTCATCATTCTTCAGTTTTAATTTTTGCAAAACTCACTGCATCGAGAGTTGCCAAATGCGCTTTGTGGTAACCTGCCCAGCCGCTTGTGATTGATTAACTGCGTCCTGACCCATGCTGCTCAGCTCTGTCCCTTGCTCAGAAAATGTCTTCTGGAAGAGATAGGCTGATGACCCACCTGTTGGAGACTGACAGTGCTGTTGTAGCCAGACTAGAGAGCCCGGCTAGCAATTGCAGAAGAGAACGGAAAGCCCGATCCCTTTCTGATGGGCTCTTCCCGAGCGCCAGTTACTGCCTCCATTTGCTCTCCAGGCCTCTTTTTTCCTGAGAACGCAACTAGCCCGGAGCCCTCTGGACTCTTTCCATTCGGTTTCTTTCTGTGCTCTAGTGACTGCTTCCCATGCTCCTTTCTCTCCACTCCCCTTTCTCCCCCCTCCCCTTCCCCCCTTTCCCTCCCCCAACCTTCCAGCCCAGTTTATTTATTTATAATTTTTATAAGTTTGTTTGAGCCAAACTGACGACATATACTGGAGAGCAAGATCTCAAATTCTCTCCTTCATCCCCAATTTAAATAATCGAAAGAGGGTATGTTGGCAGTTCAGGGGAAATGCCCTGGGCAAAAATAATGTCAAATGCATACGTATACATGGCTTCAAGAAGAAATATTACTGTTATTTACATAGTTTCAACGTGCAGAGGGAATCATGTTTCTCCCCACCATGGAGAACTGGTCTCCATGGTCTGCTTAATTTGCAGATTGCAAAAACAGAATTTGAAATAATAAAGAAAAAAATAGGTTATTTTTTCAAAGTGTGTATTTAATTAATCAAGAAAGTAATTTTGGTTTTTTTGGAATGGAGCAGTCTTATCTTTTCCAGTGAAACTGAAAATAAATTGATTTTTGGAGAGAGAGACAGAGAAACACTGATCTGCTGCCTCCCGCTTTTGCCCTGACTTGGGATTGAACTTGTAGCCTGGGTATGTGCCCGGACGGGAATCAAACCAGATACCTTTTGGTGTATGGGACAATGCTCCAACCAGCTGATCCACACCGTTCAGGGGAGGATTTATTTGGGAGTAGAGGCTAAATTTAATGAAGTAAAAGGTACTAAGTCTGTAAAGAGCTCTTAAATGAGCTAATGAGATAAAGGAAGTAAAGTTTTACTAAATAGCATCTCAATGTAATCTCCGGGCTGATGCGAAATTGACCAGTAATTGGAGAGCAAAGGAAACTGTTAAACAGGAACTGTTGTCTCAAGTAACAATCCTATAATATAGACTAAAGAAAATGCTGCAGGTCACCATCCCATTTTATTTCCACATAACTTAAATGTTAATAAAGCTTGATGTTCCTTTGTCTCGATATATCAAATGCTTGACTTTTAAATATAAGCACTAAGGGAGAAATCATTCTGAAAGGTTGTGTGTGGGAGGTGAAGTTGAAAACTGGGAGCATAAGAGTAAATAAATGAGGATAATTACGGCTGGCTAGAAAGATAGGTATTCTGTTCGAAGAAATCCTGAGGACTAGGATAAGAGTCAGTGTATTGGTCCTTTATGTTACCTATTTATCTTCTCAACAATCTCACAGTGAGCCAGGAGGGCAGGTATTAGCTCCATTTCAAGATGAGGAACCTAAGGCTCAAAGAGGCACAAATTACTGTTAAAGCCGCAAGCTCTAGAATGTGTAAATCTCTACACTGGAAATTTGCTAGTCCGGTACAACATATTCCTTTCTCCCAGTTCTTGAAAACCCAAATTTAGTAAAGAAGACTGCAACTCTCCCAGCATCATACTTGATTGAGAGCTTGAACACGGACTTCTGTCAGTTCATTACCAGGACTGACCCTACCACTATAATAGCTAATAAAATAAAGGGGGGAAAGGGTTACTTATAAGTTGGAAGTACCATTTTTTCCTAAGCAAAGTCAAATTCTGTACTACATAATGTAATTGGACAAAGGAATGTTTATTTTAACTCACTTTGAATTGGAGTCATTATTTGATTTTGTGTGGTAATTTTATGACTTTAAACGGAAGTTCTTATTTGACATTCCTAGTGCCTGAAGGAGGAAACAGAGTGACAGACCTGGAGACTGAAGTTCTTTGTCCCTCACACAGGTATGGCACCCTGTCATGATGGAAATTCTGATGAAAGGGGGAGTTGAATTTTTACCCCAGGGCAAATAACCACTCCGATGCGTCTCTCTTCAAAACCCTTTACGGGGCTACACCCCAGCTTGAAATATTAGTTAATGCCACGATGCTTCCAGAGATTGTCCGATTTTGTGTTTAGTAGACTAATGGTTAAAATCTAGAACTAATTTTAAAAATTAGGGTTTACTTGTAAAAGAAAAATAAATCTAGATAATAAACTATAACCGTGCATATTGCCTAATCAGAAAAAAAAATCACAGGTAAGCATGTATGCCAACATTGCTTTTTGATTGCATTCTCAAGTGATACTAGCTGGGCTGTGGAAGGGTGTTTACGCTTATGTGAGATTGGATAGTGATTCTAAATTTGTTCGAAACAATAGTCTAATTACTTGTGGCCATCATTTTCTTGCCATGGAGATCCTCTCTTATGATTCTGCTTTTGTGTGTGTGTGTGTGTGCGCGTGCGCGCGCACGCTTCAGTATTACGATTGTTACTGATTTCAGATTAGAAGGCTAGTAGCATTTCATTTATTCAACATTCAGCCTCCACCATATGCCAAGTGGCAAACAAGAAGCAATTCCTGCTCTCCAGAAGCTCCTTGTCTAGTGCAAAGAGGCTGACCCTAAATTATAGAGAAGAAGCTTGGAGAAGTTTTCGATAGCATCTTGACAAAGGTCAGGTGTGCATTTTGGAGAGATTGGCCAGGGGTGGGGAGCGCGAATGCAGAGCGCTGGTGTAGGAGGCTGCGTCCTGCTCCCCGGATCGCTGCTGAAGCCCCTCCCTTACCCAGCCGGCGAGGACCTAGGTCAGGCATGTATTTCAAGGTGCTTCTCTTTTAGGTTTTAATAGATACATAATTTGATGACTTACAGGCTAAGTGTAGATTTCATGATTTAAGGACAACCTTTCTACTTTTGACATTCTCTCAAAATTTTCCACAGTCAACTCACTGTGGCAGTGGTCTGTAATTTCACTGCACTTAATAGCACTCCAAAGCTTGCAGAGTGGCATAGGACAAATGACAAAAGTGCAGGATTTGACTTTCTCTTCTCAGGATTCAAATTAGCGGTGAGCTGCTAGTCAAGGTTAGTGTAGCATTTTGACCCAGGCAACTCTCCTAAGCCAAGACCTTTATGTCACTGAAGAGCTGAAATTCTGCCACTTAAGCAACACCGTACAATTATGTAATACCTAAAAAGGGAGTCGAGTTATAGAAGTTTGGATATGGAAAGATTTTTTTCTCTAAAAATAAGGACTATACCCCCTTCAAAGCCTGGCAGCTGCGTCTCTCCAGCTCCTGGACCAGCGGGGTGTGGTCAGACTGCTGGCGGCGCTCCAGTGGGATGGGAGGTGGGAGCGAGCACCGGTGGCCTCACGTGGGTCTCTGGGTTCTGGCTCAGTGGCAGCGGGGCTGGTGCTGGTGGCTCCGGCAGCTTTAGTGGGAATGGGAGCTCATGGGATCTAAATAACCACCGTTCCCCTTTTCTCCTGTAGCTCCGCTGACAAGCCTGTAACCATTTTCCTATATTTAGTTTCCCCTGTTTGAAATAGCTGATTCTTTTTTACTGATCAATATACCCTCTAAAGAAACTGAGGCTCTGGTAGTTTCTGACTTGCCCATAGACACTGGCAATGGTCTTGAGTGGCTAGCAGTTTTTTTTTTACTGTTGGTCAGTATATCTCGGCACTGCTGAGTCTTTACAGCATGTCCAACCTTTTAGTGCCCCTTTCAAGAGAGAAGGGGTGGTTTTAAGGTGTTATCTAAGAGTTAATTGCCATACTAATAATGTGTGGATTACTGGTTTTCAAATTTAAATCAGTTTTTCTTTTTCCTAATTGAGAAGCTCAGTGATACTTTGTGGTTTTATGATCATTTATTGCCTATACACTAGCTGCAGAAAGTATAGAATATTGGCATTTGACCCTGTGATAGATCCTAGAATTTGTCTTTGCTTAAAGTTTTAATCATTTGGGTTCTGGGTGCGGGGCTTCTTTGGAAGAGTAGGATCATAATATCAGTGTCTTTGTATAGACCAGCTTGGTAGACTTCTATAGTGTGACTTTCTACTTGCTGAGATTGTTTAGATCAATGAAGAATGCAATATTGTTTGGTCTAACAATTTTTAAAGTCTCAAAGTCAGTAGCTGTGAATAATGATGGGTTACTAATGTGAATTGACTGACTCATTTAAACTTTAGGTGTCTAAGAATAGATCAAGTACTTGAATTCTGATTTGTGGGCTGTATTCTGAATTATCATTGTATTTCATTGTATAGTCCTTTACAACATGGAACAATCTTATTGAGTTTCTTTTACTTCTAATAATCATGCTTTGAATAAAGTGGAAGCCTTTCTGAAACATGATAATTTTGAATAATAGTATTTCATTCTTACTGTAATTGCTACTTCCACATATTTATTTATTTTTCATCTTTATTGATTTTAGAGAGAGAGGAAGGGAGAGAGAGAGATAGAAACATCGATGAGAGAGAACATCGATTGGCCGCCTCCTGCATGCCCCCCACTGGGGATTGGGCCCACAACCTGGGCATGTGCCCTGACCAGGAATCAAACCAGTGACCTCTTGGTGCATGGGTTGACGCTCAACCACTGAGTCACACCAGCTGGGCTACCTCCACATATTTAAAATTTACTTCTCTAAGTAAAATATGCTAAACTTAGAAAGTAAACTAATATTTTAGGTGATAGTTGAACTCTTAATGTCTGTTTCTCAAATTAGAACTTGGTAGTTTATAACCTAAAACAATGTTTTTTTGTGTTTTTTTGAAAGCTCTTTCACCATGCCAGGGTCACTTCCTTTGAATGCAGAAGCCTGCTGGCCAAAAGACGTGGGAATTGTTGCCCTTGAGATCTATTTTCCTTCTCAATATGTTGATCAAGCAGAGCTGGAAAAATACGATGGTGTAGATGCTGGAAAGTATACTATTGGCTTGGGCCAGGCCAGGATGGGCTTCTGCACGGATAGAGAAGATATCAACTCTCTCTGCATGACTGTGGTTCAGAATCTCATGGAGAGAAATAACCTTTCTTATGATTGCATCGGGCGGCTGGAAGTTGGAACAGAGACAATCATCGACAAATCAAAGTCAGTGAAGACTAATTTGATGCAGCTCTTTGAGGAGTCTGGGAACACAGATGTAGAAGGAATAGACACCACGAATGCCTGCTACGGGGGCACCGCTGCTGTCTTCAACGCTGTGAACTGGGTCGAGTCCAGCTCTTGGGATGGTGCGTTACATCTCTATTCCACAGAAACAGTCCCTGGGGACCTGTAAATTAATGCCATCTGCAAACGTTACTACTTATGCTTGTTGGAATTTGTTCAGGAAGATAGCTATGACTTTCAACATACCTGCCTTATAAATCCATTATCTTTGTCACGTAGGATAATTATCTTATCAAAATTTAGACCATTTTCTTTCTTTTTCAATCGTCACCTGAGGATATATACTCTTTATTAATTTTAGAGAGGGAGGGAGAGAGAGAAATATCGATCTGTTGCCTCCAGTATGCACCCTGACCAGGGATCGAACTCAAAACCTTTCTGTGTATAGGACAGTGCTCCAACAACTGAGCCATCTGGCCAGGTCCCATTTTCTTTCTTTACCAAAGACAGGGAAAGCATACCTGGGGAAAATAACACTTCGGTTCCCCGTGAATAGTTACAGTGGGATCACCTTCTGTACTGATGTTTTTCAGGACGGTACGCCCTGGTGGTTGCAGGAGATATTGCTGTCTATGCCACAGGAACCGCTAGACCTACGGGTGGAGTTGGAGCTGTTGCTATGCTCATTGGGCCAAATGCTCCTCTAATTTTTGAACGAGGTGAGTGGGAATTTTTTTTTTTTTAATTAGCACAATATGCTGAGAACTTTGACACTAGAAGCTAGTACTTACTGAGCGGTCATTCACTGCAGGCACTACCTGCTAAGTACTTATATGTGTTACCATTTCAGATTTCATAGCAGTTGTGTGAGGTGAGGGATGTCATCCCCATTTTACAGAGAACTAAAGTGGGTTTAAGTAATAACTTGAAGGTGTGACTTGCCCATAGTCACACAGTAAGTGGCAAGTTTGTTTTCAGTTCAGTAAAGCAGTCATAGTCTCCCAGTTAGATTTATGAAACTTGCTTGAAAATGTACATCCAAACAGTCTTAGGCCCGTTATGGATACAGTTGCTGCATTTCAAATACTATTGGCTTCACCGTGTGATTTTTATACCGCACACGGCTTGAGGTGACTAGGAAGGAAGGCCCCGATGGTGCTCATTGACATACAGATGTCAGGGAGCAGAGATCCATGGGCACCTTCCTTTGTGGTTCTAACAGGACTTCGTGGGACACACATGCAGCATGCCTATGACTTCTACAAGCCTGATATGCTTTCCGAATACCCCGTGGTGGATGGGAAGCTCTCCATCCAGTGCTACCTCAGTGCATTAGACCGCTGCTACTCTGTCTACCGCAAAAAGATCCACGCCCAGTGGCAGAAAGGTGGGTTTTATCCGCTTTCCTTGGCTTGGTCTCGGGCACAATGTGCTGGGTGTCTTTAGTGAGAAACTGCTTTGTGGGCATCCTTCACTAGTGTCCTTTAACCATGTCTTCCTCACCTGCCAAATAGCATTTTCCTGTGGTTTGGGGGAATGTGTAATTTAGGAAAAGAAGTCAGCTTTGGAAATGAGGCATATCTCTGCAAAAGTACTTAGGTCGACTTATCCTCAGTAAGAAAACTAAAGGTAGGTTTTAAAAAAGTAACTTGAATTTTTTTTTTAATCCTCATCCGAGAATACTTTTCCATTTCTTTTCGATAGAGTTGGGGAGGGGAGAAACATAGATGTGAGAGAGACACATTGACTGGCTGCCTTCCGCACAACCCCAACCAGGGCCGGGACCTGAACCACAACCAAGGTACATGCCCTTGACCAGAATCAAACCCGCCACTCTTTGCTCTGCCGGCCGATGCTCTAACTGCCGAGCCAAACTGGCTAGGGTGAAAAGTAACTTGAATTTTGTTCATCTTTTGTGAAAGGTATTTTCACAAGGTTTTAGTTTGCCGCTGTGATCCAGAAAACTGGTGAAGATAAATTTCTGAAGTGTGACCCTCGTCTCCCCAGTTGTACTTAGCCTATGGATTGATATTTGCTTTGTTAATGTCATCATTAATCTCCATCTTTAACCCTGAAAAAGTTCTTTTCTTCCCCCCAGTGGTATATTTTTTAGTAGTTTTCAGAATCTAAGCTGCATAGCTTTTTAGAACAAAATAATGACAATAGAATGTCAGGTGCATGCTTTAGGACACTTTCTTCAACCACAAGCATCTGTCTTTGATGATCACTTCAAAGGAGTGACCAAAGTCATAGTGTAACTTGATTACAGATGTGGAGATAAATGGTCATATCATGGCACACTGTCTACAAAACAGCATCTGACAGTCAGAACTCCAGCGGACCACAGCATGGTGTCAGGTACTCAGTCACTGCTTCTGGTCGAGTAAAGGCACTTGAAAACCGTCCGTGTGGTTTGACTGGGGAAATAGAGGTAGCTTCTTAGTTCTTCTGGACACAGCGTATCTTTTCCAGAATGAGACTGGCTCGGCTGAAAAGTTCTGAGGTGCTGAAAAGGACAGTATTTGAGTCAATGCAATACATTAGTAAAAATGCACAGTATCATATAAAGTATGTTCTCCCCATAGTCCAACTTTGCTTTATAGGGGTTGTGAGGGAGGATTAAGAAACAGATATTCAGAAACCTTGGCTTTGGATAAGCAGCATTCCTGCAGTATGTAAAAAGTCATACCATTTAACGGTATAGTGATTTTTCATTGTTAGGATCCACAGTAAGCAATACACTTTACATTGTGCATGCTACACTCAAACAAAAGTGTCATGAAATTGCTTATCTGTGCAAATTATGCAGTTTATTTTCTACTCACTTTCATTTTTTAAAAATTCTAATCTTTTTTTAAATTTATTTTTTTATTAATTATTTATTTTTGTTACAGATGTTTCTCTTTTTCCTCCCACTGATTCCCCCCCCTCCCTCCCTGAAATTCTAATCCTTTAAGATAAAAAAATATTGGTTCTGACCCACTAAATTGATTCCACAGTCCACTAATAAGTTTTGACTCTTACCTTTGAAAGACAGTAATATAGTTGTGTATATTGTCCTATTTCTGCATGTCTTTTTGGTATGTGTTTTAACCCGTAGAGGTGTTTCATTGTACAGTGTATTTTTGGTTGCAATTTAAAGATATGAAAAGAGCCCTGGCCGGTTTGGCTCAGCAGTTGGAGCGTTGGCCTGCGGTCCTGGGTTTGGTTCCCGCTAAGGGCACGTACCTCAATTGCAGTTTGTCCCCGGCCCTGGTTTGGTCGTGCGGGTGGCAGCCACTCAATGTGTCCCTTTCATGTCAGTGTTTCTCTCTCTCTTCCTCTCTCTCCCTCCCACTCTGTCTAAACAAAAACTGGAAAAATGTCCTTGGGTGAGGATAAACATAAAATAAAATTAAATTAAAAATAAAGATATGAAAACATCCTAGCCCTGTTCAAAAATAAAGCTTCAAAAATTAGTCACTTATATGAATTTTATAATGTCTTTGGATTTTTTTTTCAGAGGGACATGATAAAGATTTTACCTTGAATGATTTTAGCTTCGTGATCTTCCACACCCCCTACTGTAAACTGGTTCAGAAATCTCTAGCTCGGATGATGCTGAATGACTTCCTGAATGATCAGAACCGAGATAAAAATAGTGTCTACAGTGGCCTGGAAGCCTTTGGGTAAGAGGAGTTGTTATGATTTTTCCTCCTATCTGAGAGCAGTTTTTGTATCTGTTAAACTATTACTTGTACAGTCCTGAAAATTTTAGAGTCTAAAGGATCTTTTTAAAAAAATGTTTTTATTGATTTTAGAGAGAGAGGAAGGGAGAGGGTGAGAAAGAGAGAGAAAGAAACATTGATGGGCGGGCTGCCTTCTGCACGCCCCCGACTGGGAATTGAGCCCACAACCCAGGCATGTGCCCTGACTGGAGAATCTAGCTGATGACCTCTCAGTGCATGGCACCATGCTCAGCCATGCTGAGCCACACCCTACAGGGCTCAAAAGGATCTTAGAAGTAATCTGGCCTATCCCTGGCTGGTTTTGCTCAGTGGTTAGAGCATCAGCCTGTGGACTGGTGGGTCATGGGTTTGATTCCTGGTCCAGGGATGTACCTGGGTTGTAGGCTTGATCCCCAGCCTTGGTTGGGGTGTGTACAGGCGGCAGCCAATCGATGCGTGTGTGTGTCTCTCTCTCACTCCACCCCCTGCCTTCCTCCTTCCCTTCCACTTTATCTAAAAAATCAATGGAAAAAATATCTCCATTGAGGATTAACGGACAAACAAAAAAGAAGTAATCTAGTCTAACTATTCATCAGTGAAGAAACTGCGTCCCAGAGACGTGGTGGCTTACCTACACTAAGTCTTTAGTCGTTCCTACTAGTTGTTCTGCCTTCCTTCTCGTGGTGCCCTCCCATTGGCAGCACAGGAACGTGCCCACAAGCGCCTGCGTGCGATAGCTCTTCACCCTCCTCCTGCCTGTCCAGCCCCGGCTCACCGCTCACTGCGGACCGGCAGCTCCCATGCTCCTCCACAGCTCCCCACCATGAAGGCCCCAGCGTGCTGTGCCTGCCAGACTCGGCCCTTCTCCATCTGACAGATTCCACTCGACTTTAAGACGTGGCTCTTCTAATGTAATGACCTTTCTAACTAAATAGACATTATTATGGACTTGAAATGGTATATTCTGTTGGGTGACAACAGCACTTTAGTGGGTTTATTAACCCAAGAGAATCAAGTTATCTTAACTTGGTTATAAAAAGCTTGGAGAAAAAGGATTATCTGTCTACAACTGTTACGTCTTCCATGGTAATTAGCATGCTGTTACTTGGCTTTTAACAAATGGAATTATAAAAAAAACAGAATCATACACACTTGCAGGTTAGAATATGTATTGGGTACACTAATACAATAAAAGTGGAGTCTCTGAACACTAAAACTGTCTTTTTTATAAATCTTTCAGGGATGTTAAATTAGAAGATACCTACTTTGATAGAGATGTGGAAAAAGCATTTATGAAGGCTAGTTCTGAACTATTTAATCAGAAAACAAAGGCGTCTTTGCTCGTTTCAAATCAGAATGGAAATATGTACACATCCTCTGTGTATGGCTCCCTTGCCTCCGTCCTAGCACAGTAAGTACCATTTCAGCTACTCAGCGGCCCTCATTTGGGGAATGTTCGGATTCGGAGACCGTATTCGGTGCAGGTCACAGAATACCGTTTAATTTCCAGGCTCCCTAGCCTACTGTCTGTGGACTTGAAGGATGTGGGGTGAAGCGGTAGTTATTCGAGAGTATTGCATGTCACACTGTCTGTTCTGCTGCTGGTCTCATGGTTTTATTTTTCTGACCTGCAGTTGAACCATGACTCCCTGGTTGACAAAGTGACTTATTTTATGGTAAAATAACTTTCATAAGCCCATCTTTCTTAAAGCGATGAAAATACCTGGTTTAGTTGGCATGCTGTGAGGGTAGAACTTCAGCTTAGGTCCCTAAGGTTGTAGGATGAGTTTCTGTCCCGCTCATAGCCTCCTACACACTGCTGTTCGGGTCAGTTACCCCTCCCGACAACTTCCCCGCACAGGTACACACCGCAGCAGCTGGCAGGAACGAGGATCGGCGTGTTCTCTTACGGCTCTGGCTTGGCTGCCACCCTCTACTCCCTGAAAGTCACCCAAGATGCCACACCAGGTAAACACCGAGTCTTTCCGTGGGAACGTCTTGGGTCCCTCCTCTGGTCGGGCTGACTCAGCAGCTTCTCAAGGGACAGTGGAGTCCGCCCCATGGGGCGTGGCTGCTTTCTGGTTGGCTTCCCTTCTCAGCAGCCGGATGTGCCCTCGTCCAGGGCGCTTACCTGGGTGAAGGGCAGGGCCGGGTCTGAGGGAGGACAGCTCCTTTCCTTCTTTCCAAGTCAGAAAAATAGTATCGGTTCAAACATATTTGATGGTTTAGTGTTTTTGACTTTTCCTTTTTTGGCAAATAGTTTGATCTTTTATGTTTTCAACATGTTTTCAGGAGCAAAGGAAGCATATCTTACTAATGCAGGCAGCTTTTGAGTATTTAATGATTGAGTCTCATCACATGAGTGAATAATAAATCATTTCTGATTGTTCGCTAGTATCTAAGGTAACTAGTTTCCTAGCTTTGTGGTCTTGGCTGTATTTAAGGGAACCGCAGCACCTTCTCTGTCCTGGAAGGTGCAAAAGCAGAGAAAGTGGTGGCAGACGGACACTGCTCTGGGCTGCCTCTCCCCAAGCTCCTCATTGCAAACCGCACCTGCTTCCCGGCCTGTGCAGGGCTGAGTGGGCAGGTGTCCAGTCGGGTCCTAGGAAGCTGTGTCTGATACCATCTTATCTTGAACCGAACAATAGCCAGTGGTTCTAACAGAAAGGAAAAGTTGTTTTAACATTTGGCAACATTTGGTTTAGGCTTTTAGGCATGCCATTTTTAGTCTTTTGATGTTGGAATTATTTACTGTTTCAGGGTCTGCTCTCGATAAAATAACAGCAAGTCTGTGTGATCTTAAATCGAGGCTCGACTCCAGAACGTGTATGACACCAGCTGCCTTTGCTGAGAGCATGAAACTCAGAGAGGACACGCATCACCTGGGTAAAAACATTAGCTTGTTGATATATATACATGCCCCAAGGCCTGGGGGAGGGCTGTCACAACATGAAACACGTCACACACAGATAAGGGTATCCACAGACCTAGGCTGTATTCAGTACAAATCTGATGTCGGTGAAAATTGTAGGAAAACATGCAACTTCTTCAGTTTATTACCAGCTAAGTTGTGTGCCATAGCTAATTAATTGTTTACATTCTCTGCCTTTCCTTTAGTCAACTACATTCCCCAGGCTTCCACGGATTCGCTCTTCGAAGGAACATGGTACCTAGTTCGAGTGGATGAAAAGCACAGGAGAACCTACGCCCGGCGACCCTCTCTGAAGGCCAGCGCTCTGGACGAAGGCGTGGGCCTGGTGCACCCGAGCACGGCCGCTGAGGTATGGGGAGCACAGTGGGTGTGGTCTTAGGCTCTGGCAGGATGTCGCTTCCAGCCCCAGATCTCGGGGCTTAGGGGACCTGACCGATGTAGCAACTTAAGGGAATGTCAATAAAGCAGAGAAATTCAGAGCAGGGCTCTGGGGCTGGATTCCAGCTGTCCATGTTTATGAAGTCCTTGCACTTAACTGATTAACCTTTTTGAAATGCACAGTGAATACTAGGTTTTATTTAATAATACCAGAATTTAGAGGAAGACTGATCTAGAGAGAGGCTCGTTTGTGATAGGTCTTGGGAGAGAAGACACAGGAACTGGGTGCTGCGACCCCGACCTCTCTTCTCTCGGGCCATTGACAGATTGGTCTCCCAAACTGCCAGGAGGTAACAATAGTAGCCATGCTTTGAGCTGCTGTGATGCTAGGTACTTTATTTACACTTTCTAATTTAACCCTTAACGAAAACTACCTTGAGGTAAATGGTACTATGCCCATTTTAGAGATGAGGCGGCCAGAGGTTAAATGACCTGACCAGGATCATAGCCAGGCTTCAAACTGAGGACTTTATAACCTTGATTATTTTATCTGCTCAGCACAAATTTGGTGAGCGCAGTAATGCTTCTTACTATTATATAAATTAGGTAGCAGGTCAAGCTTCTAGTGTCTGAGTTGTGAATGCAAAATGTAACAAGTAAAATACTGAGGCTAATGGATCTTTGTGGCCTTCCTCTCTCTCGCTACATTGATAATTGTATGATAAATTCACCATAAGGTAAAGAATGGATATTTAGCTCCTACTGTGAACAGCTGTATACAGTGTATTTAACATAAACCGCTCCCAAGTTGTTCTCTCTGTTTTTCTATTGGAATTTTATTAAGCACTGTGACTCAAAAAACAAAACAAAACAAAAAACAACAACAGAAAACAACTTTTTCTCTTTGATTTTTAGCATATTCCAAGTCCTGCTAAGAAGATGCCAAGACTCCCGGGAACAGCAGCAGAGCCGGAAGCAGCTGTCATCAGCAATGGGGAGCATTAAGAACCTCTGTGGGTGCAAGACCAGTGTGGGCTGGGTGGGTTGGGTCTATGAGAACGGTTGGGAATGGGATGTCTGTGGACAATATTAAAGGATTACATGTTGCTTAAAATTTTATGTGACTGACACGGAGCCTGGAAAACTATCGTGTTTCTGGGAAAGTCTTTGCTCAGTTTGCTAATCTGCTTCTGAATGTGATCCAGCTGATGCTCAGTGTACTCTATGATGTTAAGGCTCTGTAAGACTTTGTGCCCCTTGGGTCATTTGTAGCATGAAGCTCAGGTTTTAAATGTGGTTTGATGAGTTGGGTGCTTCTGGCAGAAAAGAGCGGAGGTGTAAGTCTTCAGTTTTAATTTTCAAATGTGTAAAAATTTTATACTTTGAACAAACAAGATTATGAAAGTCCCTGTGGTCTTTGAAAAAAAGGTTCTCATTTGAGGAGTGTGCTCTCACCTGGGAGATGCACAAACCCTGTTTGAAACGGCAAGAGAAACGTGCTCATTCTGAACTCCGCACACTCCGAACAGAGATGAGTTGGGAGGGTGACTGGTTCTGGAAGCTGGGATGATGCGGCTTTCAGTCCCAGCAGCAGTGACAAGCGATCGCAAAGGCCCTGAGCAGTGATGCTGGCCCTGGGCAGACCCGGGATGATGACGCGGTACTCTGGGAGCGGAGTGTCGCTCCTGAGTCAGCTCGCGCTGGGTCGGGCTGCCTGACGGAGATGTTATTGGACCTTGTGTACAAGGAGGTGTGCTGATGCAGTCCTCTGCACCTTATTTCAAAGGATAAATAAAACACGTTCTGGCTGCCTTTTAGACATTTTAAAAGGAAGGGTGGGGCGAGGCATTAGGTTACTTCTGATGCTGCAGTGTTATAAATTCAACGGTGAGACTGACAGCCTAACTTCATGGTGTAAGTACTCTTTTCCTTTAAAAAAACAAAACAAAACATTTAATGAAAATAAAAAGGTACAACCCAAGTTGTTACATAGTTTGTTCAGCTAAAATGCGCATTCCACTGTAAGATCTGGAAGTAGGATCTGAAGATTTTCTCAGACTTTCACCTTAAACACTATCACGAGGTCTGAATAAGGCTGGTTAGACTGCTAGATATCTGTGGTGCTGAACTATGACATGAGCCTTACAGACTAAAATAGAGCTAATTGGAACTAATTACAGAATTCAGTTCTGTTAAGTTCTGTGAAGTCTCAGCTATCTGAAGTACACTTACACAAATATGACATGTAATGTTTCAAAATGCAAGGTAATATGTAATGTAGTGTTTGTAAAATACTCTTGTCTTATATTAACCGGTGGTATTTGACTTGTACAGTCAATTTGTTAAAATGACTTCATTTTAATATCCACTGATACATATTAATAGTGAAATTCAGATCTAAAGATTGATGGGACAATGGTGCATGCAATACTTTTGCAAGTATTGGGAGTTTGGTATGTTTTGAAAAGAGTAATTTAACTTTTGAGTGTCAGGAAATGGGGTTTTCTCAAAGTCCATTGCCATCAATGGGCAAGCCTGGTAATACTGGCACAGAATTAACTGTACACCTGTTAGCAATGAGGTGAATAACTTTGAATAAAGTTTTAGAGAAATATTTCAGATACTTGAGCATTATATGTCTCTCCTGAACTAACATTTAGGCAAAAAATCAGCTAATCTATTTTTAAATATGGGCATTCATGTTATTTTAGTTTATTCATTCACCAATTCATGCATTCATCATTCAACATTCATAAACATGATGTAAACAAGGCACTCCCAAAATCAGAACTAAGGATTTACAAGATATATGGTCTTGCCTTCAAGGAACTATTGGTCTAGTGTGGAGGGATTTATACTGGTAATTTATGACACTTTAGACAAAGAAAGTGTCATAAATTAAGTCCCAAATTGGGTGGTGAGCATGTCTGAAGCTTGCTATAAAGTTTTACAAAGAGTTACTTTTTTTTTTTTAGAAATTTAAGATTAAGAGTTGGAAATTAAAGACCAAAAGCGAACTTTATAGCTCGCATAGAAACTGCTCCGGCTTCGGGCCACGTGTCTCCGTGGTGCTGGTGCCCCCCGGGGGCTTTCCCGAGTTCTGCATCGGCAGTAATGCAGCACTCGGCAATCTCTGTCCTAGCAACTCTTAGGATTGTATGGATTAGGGGTTAGACCTACTTTTAAAAAATATTTATATATATATATTTTTTTTTTTAGAGAGAGGAAGGGAGAGAGAAACATCAATGTGACAGAAACATCGATCGGCTGTTTCCTGCACACCCCTTCCTGGGGATTGAGCCCCAACCCGGGCATGTGCCCTGACCGGGAATCGGAACCTCTCAGTCCATGGGATGACGCTCGGTGCACAGAACCACACTGGCCGGGCTGCCCTGTGATCTCAACCAGGATCTCAGAGGATGAGAGCACTTTCCTGGGGACTGCCGCTACCTACCCTTCACTTTGGCCCCCCTGTGGTGGGGTCTCCGCAGAACTCGTCTAGTACAATTTCACATGCCGCAGGGTCGCCCTTGGCCAGTGGACACTGCTGGTAGATCAATGCCTTTCCTTTCGACCCCTGGGCAGACAGTTCTGGGAAGCGCTCGGAAGGTCCTGCAGAAGCAGCAACCATTTCCTCTGGCCGGTTCAGCAGTGCATCTTTCTGCTGGCTTTCCTCTTTTCTGTTTTTCTGTGTGTCCTGCACCCTGGGATCACTTCCCAAATACATGACTTGCCTGCAAGCTTTTGTCTTAGGGTGTGCTGTTTTGGAGAATTCAGGCTAAGACCATTGATACCCAGAATAGGCATGAAGCAGACCCTCAGGATAGAAGCTTGGACCTGGTTTGCTGTTTGTAGTCAGCAGAATGGTCCCCACTCCCACAGATGGCCATCTCTGGGCCCTGAGGATGTCACCCTGCTTGGCAAAAGCAGGAGCGATTAAGGTCGAGTTGGGAGATTTTCCTGGCTGGACTGGATGAGCTCAACCTCATCACACGGGTCCTTAAAGCAGAGAACCTTTGTGGGCTGTGGCCAGATGCACATTGCTGTATCTGAGGATGGAGGAAGGGGACCATGGGGCAGAGAGCGGGATACCTTCAGAAGCGGGCTAAAGCCAAGAAATGGGTTCTTGTTAGAGCCTCTGGAAGGAACCCAGACCTAACACCACCTTGATTTTAGCGCAATTAGACCCATGATAGACTTCTCTCTCACAGAACTGCAAGATCATGTGTGTTTTGTGCCACCAAAGCATCATGACGGTCGGACACGAATGCACTGTTGGCAAGCAAGGCCCTGGCACGCAGGAGCCGCACGGTTACAACCAGGACTGCCCCTCCCAGGCACAGCTGGGCCATGAGCACAAGGTGATGATAAAGGCTGGGTCTGGCCGGCTTTCTGAGCTGCTTTGGAAGCCTGTGGGGGAGGGGGAGAGGAGAGACTAAATAACAGGATCAAGTGGGCCCATTGTCAAGGCAGCAAGGGTCAGAAGAGCCCGCCTGCCCCAGGGGAAAGCCACCTGAGGGGCCAGGAGCTCATGGTGAGGGCGGCTGAGCTGCAAAGATCAAATACTCAGTTCTGCCAAATCTCCTTCTTCCAAGCCGGGGACTTGATAGGAAGAGAGTGGGACTGGGTCTAAATCACAAGAGGGTGGAGGAGCCTGGAAATGTGGAGACCGGGGCTCCCCCATGTGGGTCTTCCTTGCCTGAAGCCTCCAGAGAGGCCTCTAGGGGGGCAGAGGCCGGCAAGGTGAGGCTTGACCAGGAGATCCTCTTCCAGGACCTTTGTTATTCTCCAAACGGAGAACTGGGTCAGGTCCTGACAGCCCAAGCAGGATATGCAGCCTTGTCTGGGAGGAAACAGCTTAGTCACTGAAGGAGCTGCAGGACCTGGCTGGCGCGCACCGTCAGGGACCAAGGGAGAATGTGGGTGACTCGATCCTGAGGGTAATGGGCCAGGCGTGGAGGGTGAGGGGCGAAGAGAAGGCAGGATAAAGGACAGTTTATTATGGGAGGTTCCCCCGGGACTTGAAGGGCCCCTGAGGGGAGTCCTAACATACTACTGGGACGGCTGTGGAGTCTGGCTCACAGTGGAAGTCCTGCAGCGCAGTACTCGGGAAGGGACAGAGGGCCCAGGAGGTGCCTGCCAGAAAGGAGTCAGTACATGAGACTGAAGAACCACCTGCTTCCCAGGCACACGGTCCCTTCACTGGGGTGACAGGACGCTCAGCGCCCGTGGGCTTTCAGGGGTGGCTGCCCAGGGTGACGGAGGAAAGGCTGCAGGCAGGGTGCTGGATTCTGGAATGGCAGAGGCCACGCGTCACTACATAAACGTCAGAGGCGAGGTGGACGTAATCTAATGGACTGTAAGGCTGGAGTGGAAATCTGGGTGTCTTGACCTGCAGGGGTGTGTGACAATGGCTAACGTCGCAGACTTCCGAGCCGTGACAGCTGGCGGCGGTGTGACTTGACTTGCACAACTGAAAAAAGAAAGAAGAGGCAAGTCGGTGAGCAGACGCCTGGTGTAGCCGGTCACCGAGAGAAAACCACGGCCCCGGATGGAGGTTCGTTTACAGATCCCGTGCAGTGAGGGAGGCCAAGCTTCTGCCGTCACAAGCATATGCAACATATGCCCCCAGGCTTTTCGAGCACGGTTGGATAGAAGTCTACACTGAAACAGACACCAGGCAACGGAGGGTCCAAGCAGTTCATGCTTCTCTGGGGTGGACAGCGATCTTCATTTATTCTATTGTCCCTAGGCGATGACCAGTGTCCTGCTCTATGTCAACAGAGTCTGGAAGGACTTTGGTCATCTGGACATTCTGCAGAACATCAAGCTTGCCCACTGGGTGAAGGGAGGTGCATCAGAAAGTGGCAAGTACTCCAGACACCCTAGTAAGGTTTATGTGTGGCGGAGGTGGGTATATACTGCCGGAAGAATCGGGCCTGTCACACTAATGAAGACTTTAGAGGACCGATGACCTGGGGCACGCCTGGACATTCATTCTGCAGTAAAGTCAAGGTGCTGCACCTCGCACCCCTTAGCCCTGGGACGGAGGCACGGGGTTTGTAGGCCCCTCTGGGTTCTGCAGGCACATACATTGTACTTGGTGGACTCCTCCACCCCGTTCGTCAGGGCTGCCAGTCTCAAGTGGATCCCCCACACAGAAGGGTCCAGGTTCAGCCCCAGGAGGTTGTAGCTCAGCCCTGGAGGGTCCTCGAGGGAGGCCATGCTTCCTGCAACCGAGAGCTACTCAAACTCCCCGCGTGCTACTGGGCACCTGATTATGGGACACTAAGGGACCAAGCAACGGGGAAGTCTTCTCATGAGCTGAGCGTTGACGGACGCACAGTCGGAAATGCGGACGGCACAGCGGCGATGCACCCTTACTGGAGTTGACATCTGCTCAAGCTCTGGGTTTGCCCTTCCTGCCTCCAGTGTGTTCTCCAATACAGCCACGCCATGGCAGAGAATATCTGAACCACTGTCATGGTATCTCACATGACATCGCCTCAAGGACCACGTTTTGGCAAAGGCAGTGGGGCACTGGGCACCTGACCACGGGCTGTGCTCAGTTTAGTACCCACCTCAACACCAGAAGCAGCCAGCACAAACAAGTGGGTGGGCGAAGGCCGGCGCTTGGACCGTCCCCTGCAGGGTGGAGGGGCGGCCCACCAGGATCCAGGGCACGTGCTCCCGCAATGGCTGACAGCTACGTGTCCCCTGTTGTTGACACACACAGGTCTGGGAACCAGCGGGCAGCAGTGGGATGGGCTTCTCTCCCCACCACGATCAGTGACCTGCTTGGAGAATTCCTGCTTTTGTTCCTACAACCTAGGCTCAGCCAGATTCAAGGTTTTGGTTCCCAGGGACAGGGGGACACTTTCACCAGGGCACCCCTGAGCTGGAATCTATGACTATCACATGGTGACTTTGGGATCTCCGTGCCAGTTGACAAGCAGGCAAAGCAAGGAGCTTTGATTCTTGAGCCTGCTTGTCATTGGAGTTAAAGAGGAGTATGTCAGGTGTCACTTTGGGCCCTGTGATAACAGTGAGCAGGCGACAGCAGAAACCACAGCCTGATGAGGCTGCGGCAGCTAAAGGCTCAGATCTTTTGATGATCAAGTTCTGAATCGGGCTACCCAATCTAGCCCAGCTGAAATGTTGGCCAACGGTGAGGGAGGTTTGGAATGAGATGAGTCTAATTACAGCCTCAGGACCAGCTGCATTTAAGAACTGTTCAGTGTGGCCCCTGACTAGCAGCAGCATCATAACCCAGGAACTTGGGAGAAATGCCGATTCTTGGGCCCACCCCAGTTGCACTGAATCAAAACCTCAGGGGCTGGGGCTCACGGTCCGTGTTTCAACAAGCCCTGCCATTGATTCGGATGCACCGGAACTTGGACCACTGCTGCAGCTTCAGCCACGAACCCTGCTGCAGGAAGTCCTCCCAGGCCCACCCCGGGAAGGCACGACTCTGTGTGGGTGGGGTTGAGAGGGTGGATCTGAGCAGAGCTGGGGCGGGGCGGGGCTGAGTCACACAGCTCCTGTGCACACTTCAGACACTTTCAGCCGCACCTCTTCCTCCAGCCACTGGCGTAGTGAGTTCCCTTGTACGTTTGGACGGCTTCTGCCCCTCCCACTGACCACTCCTTGTCCCAGGCAGAGGTGTGTACCTCTTACCTCCCAGGGCTTCTCTGACACTGGGGAGCACAGAGAACCCAGCGGGCACCCACACAGCATAATCTGAGAGTGCCGACCGATAAATGTTTCCCCTTTGTACCCTGGGCAGACACCTGAGAAGTGTTTCATGAGACTCCTCAGAGGAGCCTGCAGCAGTGAGCACCAGCCGCCTGCAATTGGCCGACTGGTCTGGCTTCCCTGTTTCTGTCCCCAGCCCCTCGCTGCTGCTCCCTCGGATCACTTCCCCAACACACTGCAGACGTGGAAGCCTTGGTCTCCGGCTCTGCTGGGGCGGAACCCAGTCCACAACCCCTGGCTGCCTGGACCGCTCTGGGTCTGCTCTTTGAGAGTGACCCCTGCCTCTCATTCACATGTCAGAGTGTCATCCACTCCAAGTGGCCTTCCCCAATGACCCGATCCAAAGCAGCCTCCCATGTCTCATCACCCTATCTGAGTTCTCTGCATTGCATCTGATAGTTTTCTTTACAAAAATTCTTTTTGTTAGTGCCTTTGTCGGGCACTAGAATAGCCTGCCTAAAACAGGAAGAATCTGACCTGTTTTCTTTTTTGCTGTTTCCCCAGCACCTTAAACTGTGCCTGGCACATAGTAGGTACCCAATAAATATTTCTTGATTAAAAGAGTGAATGCTAGAGTGTGGGGAACAGGAGAAGATTGTAAACCAAGGCAGAATCTAAGCTAATATGCTCATTTGGGGTGGGGGTGGGGAGGGAATGCATACCTTAAATTAAAGTTTATTTAAAAATTACAAAAATGTCCCCACCAAGTTGACCGGTGAAAAAATTTAAAAGCAGCAACAATGACCTTGGTTAATCACCAATAGTCTAATGCAATTTATAAAATTGAACAAAATTTGGATGTGTGTCTCATGCCTCTGTAGACACGGGACCCTTTCTTTAGGTCCCTTTCTTTCGGGTCTGGTAGCATCATTACCGGGACACTTTCCGACGCCTTCTTCCTCTGGACCCTGTGCAGAACGATCCGGTAGACGCCCGTGATGGAGCTCCGGGCATCCCTTCCCTGGTTGTTCCGAATGTGCTCTTCTGTGATCCCCAAATGCGCTAACGTGCTCTTGACCTCGTTTTCTTCTTCTTTGAGGGTGCTGGTTTCGGACAGATGTTTGGGATCCAGCTGGAACGGTTCCAGAGGGGTGGGGTACGGCACCCCTTGCATCCACGCGTCGTTCATGATCGAGTCGATGCCGAAGCGCTCGGCGGGCACGGGCTGGAGGACGCCCCGGATGAGCCGGAGGCAGGGCGCCGACACGTCGGGGGGCACGGGGTAGGCGCCCTCGAGGATGCTCTTCTTCAGCTTGGCCACGGTCTCGGCCCGGAAAGGCATGGTGCCCGTCACCATGAAGTAGAGCAGCACCCCCAGCGCCCAGACGTCCACGTGCGCGCCCACGTACTGCTCGTCGCGGAAGAGCTCGGGCGCGGCGTAGGGGGGCGACCCGCAGAACGTGTTGAGCACGTCGCCTTTCCGGCTCACGGTGCTGAACCCGAAGTCGCCCACCTTCACGCAGGTGCTGCTGGTGTAGAACACGTTCTCCGCCTTCAGATCTCGGTGAATGATCTGGTTGTCGTGCTGTGGAGGGGACAGGGAAACGGTCACTCCCAGCGTGGAAATCAACGTAAAACAGGCCTCCGGCGAGAGATCGAGGTCGGACCGAGATTCAAGGGAGATCCCCCCCAAGCCAGCAAACCTCCTTCGGCCCAGGGCAGGGTCGGTGGGTCCCGATGGGGAAAGCAAACCTCCTTCGGCCCAGGGCAGGGTCGGTGGGTCCCCCCCAAGCCAGCAAACCTCCTTGGTCCAGTGCAGGGTCCGTGGGCCCCGAGGGGAAAGCAAACCTCCTTCCGCCCAGTGCAGGGCCCGTGGGCCCCGAGGGGAAAGCAAACCTCCTTCGGCCCAGGGCAGGGTCGGTGGGTCCCCCCCAAGCCAGCAAACCTCCTTCGGCCCAGGGCAGGGCCTGTGATCTGCTGAGGCCCAAGGACCCCTGGGAAATGGTTTACTTGTACTCTTGCCAATGGGCCTCCTGGAGAAGAATCCAAGCTTTGGAGCCCGACAGCGGGGTTAACTCTGAGCCCCAGACAGCAGCTGGGTCCTTCTCTGCCTTGTGAAAGGGGACACTGCTGGGCACCTCGCAGGGTGCTGTGAAGGGCGCTGTGTCTGCCATGCTCGGTATGATGCTGGCACAGAGGACACACCCCCGAAGACACTGGAACTGTGCCTGTCACTCAGCCTCCCTCTTTTCGGAGACCAGACGGCTGGGAGAAATGACGGGGCTCCGCGCTTCGGAGGAGTCCGTCTGCACCCTCTGCTGCTGGGTTTCTTCTGATTTCTTTCCCGAGGAGAACCTGGAAGACTCCTTTCCCAACGGCTCTGTTGTGTGAGGCGGGCCTGGCTTGTTCCCTGGCCCTGGGAGGGTCACCACAGCAGAGCCACTTAAATGACAACTGGTGGGACCCAGGCCTGACACACCCACGACTGTTACGATCAGATTCTTCTCTCCTGCTCCCGTTTTCCCCCCTCTTCTCCCTGCTGACTGCCACCCTGGGTCACTCATTCCCCTGCTGATGATTTGGCCGGGAGGTCGCTGGTCCCGGGCCTTGACCCACAACAGCCAGGCAGCGGACTGAACTAGAAACAGCCTCTCGGCTAACACAGACCCGGACAAGCATCTCTTTTCTGGCCTTGGGACTGAGCTCTGGGTGAAGAGGGAGCCCAGCTTCCGCACTAACGGAGTCGTACAAGTAGTAGTCGGGTCTGCAGCCCAGTTCCTCCCGTGCCCCGCAGTACGGCCCTGGCTCTCAAGAGATCTAGGGAGTGTGCTGCAGGAGTCCAGATTTAGCAAAAGAAAGAACCGGAGAACTGAAATGAGAAGGACGTGATCGAGTCTGAGCACAGAGGCAGCAAGAGGCAGAGGATTCACCAAGCAGAGGAAGATCGGTGTGAGCTGACGTGTGGTGGAAGCGTCTCAGAGACAGGCCCGAGCGGGGTCAGGGAGGGTGGATAGGGTTTGGGAGGTGAGTCGTGTGAACAGGGGAGAGGACACCCTTGACCCTGAGGGTTAGGAAGGCACGGCCAAGAGACGGTGAGGCGCCAGCTCTCTGGGTAGAGGAAGGTGGGCTTGGAGAGAAGGATGTGACCAGGGAGTCAGTGGACGTCATCGGGTTGCTCAGAGTGATCCCTGCGAACTCCCAGAAGCCAGGAGGCTGCCCTGTGACTGGAGACTCCAGAGTGTTGCTTGAGAGGTCAGGGGCGTGCGCACAGCCAGGCCTCTGCCTGTCACAGCAGGGACTCCCGTCTGCCCTGCGGGACTAACGCCCTGGGGGACACCCCACTCACCATGTGCTTCACGGCAGACACGATCTGGGAGAAGATGAGCTTGCTTTCTGGTTCCGAGAGCTTCCCCTCATTGCTGATTTTCCCAAAGAGCTCCCCACCGCCTGCGTACTCCATCACCAGGTGGAGCTTGGACAGGGTCTCCACGACTTCGTAGAGGCGGATGATGTTGGGGTGGTGCAGCTTTTCCATGCTGGAGATCTCGCGGGACAGTAGCCGTTGGGTTTTCTGGTCTAACTTGGTCTTGTCCAGGATCTTAATGGCCACCTTTTCTGGGGGGAACAAAAAGTCAAAGGATGTGCCAGTGTCCATAGACTCATAGAAATTTAGAACCGAAAGGGGCCTAGATCAGCCCCTTTATTTTACGAGACACAGGTTGAATGGCTATTCCCAAGCGCACAGAGCTCATCCCGGAACATCAGTGTCTTCCACACACAGGTTCTGATGCCAGCTCCTGCCTCCAAGGAGGTTTTAGTTTGAAGATCTTTCCTCAGTTTTCTGGATGATGTTAAAGCTCCTTTGCTTAGCTTAGAAGGCTGCCCTTGGTCAGACCTACGCACTCCCTCCGCCTCACCATCCATCCCTCCTGCCCACCATCCTCACCTCCATCCACAATTTTACTCCACCTGTTACAGAACCTGTGTTGTTCCTTGGAAAGAGACTAAACTTTCATGCCTAAAAGTTTTCCTATACTTGGCTCCTTTATCTGGTTCATGACCCTTTTCCTGATCTGCATTCAGGTAACTCCTGATGGTCTCTCGAGGCCTCAGAACCAGCTTCTTCCAGGACCCCTGTTTTAGGGAGATCATGGTGTCCAGATTCTGTGTCTCCCTGTACTGTACCTCAGCACGCTGTCCCCTGCGTGTTGACGTCTCCTCGGTCTCTCCCTCCTGCCCTGTCCACGTTGGTTCTGTCTGACTTTGTCGGAGGCCTGGACGCACCGGTACTTAGTGTGTGGGAGGAGATTCATTGGTCCTGGACTATTACACCAATCAATGGTAGTTTGGTATTTATGTATTGAGAGTGTTAAAAATGGTTGCACCCTTTGACCCAGCCATTTCTCTTTTGGCAACCAATCTTAAATAATCGGACACACGTACGAGATTGCATGTGTGCCTAGAACGACGTCTGTGAAATGGGGAACAGCCTAAGTGTCCAGCAAGAGGTGGTTAAAAGAAAGTGTGCTTCGCCCTGCCCGGTTTGGCTCAGCAGTTGGAGCATTGGCTTGCGGAGCAGAGAGTCCCGGGTTTGGTTCCCGCTAGGGGCATGTACCAAAAAAAAAAAAAAAAGAAAGTTTGCTTCGGCTACCTGTATCATGGTGCACCGTGCTTCTATCAAATAATGACATGAAGAGGTGTTCAATATGGAAGTGAGGAAAAATACAAATAGAAAAAATCTGATGAGGTATTCATGAAAATGTTTAGAGTAATTATTGTATTCATGGGGGACCATGGATGGTTTTCCTGTACATTTTTAGTGCTTATCTGTATTTTCTGATTTTCCTCCCGTTAATTATACAGTCTAGTTATACAGTTTACATAGATGAAGTGTGTAATAAAAATGGTCGGTGTTTGGAAATGAACGAATCTACTCCAAAGCAAACCTTCCTTCATTCTTTGGTTCAAGCTGGGCCAGACTTTCTAATAGAGAAGGAAGATGTCCAGGCAAGTGAACGGGGAGAGCAAATTCGCAGCGTGCCTGTTAGACCTACTTGCCAAACAGCTGCTTCGAGGACCTTTGGCGCAGGGTCCCCTGCACGAGGGCAGACCCTGCCACTTCAGGTAGGAGTGTTGTCGGTATGCGAAAGTAGACCCTGGGCTTCTAGAATGGAAAGAGGCAGAGCTGGCTGGGGCCCGGAGGCAGTACTGGGGGAGGAGGCAGCCATAACTGAGCAGGCCCTCGGGGCTGTAACTGGCCGGCAGTGGGCCCCAGCCCCAGACCTCCACCGCTGTTCCCTGAAACAGAAACTCCTGATTTCGCGTAGCCTGTTGGGTGAGCTGTTCCTTTAAGGGTTGGAATAATTTATTCCACCCTGCAAGCTGGCAGGTTTCCTGGAGAAGGGGCCCCCGTTCCTGCTGGGTCCTCCCCCAGCGCTGGCCCCGCCCCGACCTCTAATAAAGTGCAGGCCCCTCTCCGCGTCCACTGTGCCCACGAACCAGGTGCCGGTGAAGTTCAGTGGGCTGTCACCAACCTCCCTCTGCTCTGCCATCACTTCCTCAGTGATCCCAGAGCACGTGGACACCTGCCTCGGTGACCTCTCCACCTGGTTGGTGGTTTTCGTTTGGGTTCTGCCGGAAGCAGACCCTGAGGCGGGGGAGTCAGGTGCAAGTAGACTGAGGGCGGGGACCCCACGGGGGGGGGGGGGGGGGGTTGAGGAAGTGAGATAGAAGAGGAAAGGCGGCCACAAAGCTTGTTACTAAGTTCCAGTTACTCCTGCTGGGACTCGGTGTGCCCAGGTTTCATCGAGAGGAGAGCAAGAGCGGGCACTACACACCGACGACCGCCGGGACGGGTCGGCGGCCGCGCCCGGGGATGTCTGTGCCCCTGCATCCTGGCCTCCCGCGCACGTAGGAAGGGGAAGCCCAGAGGCAAAGAGATGGAGACACTGGCGTTTGAAGGTCAGGCCCAGGCACTGCAATGGGATGGCCCGAGGACGCGGGAGAGGCACCCACAGCGTCTGCCGTATGTGTAATAGACGTGCCATAAGCATGTCCACATAACATGGTCAATACTGAGCAGTGATCCGCTAACCCCCGAAGCTGCTCCTCCTACAGGCTTCCCGACTTCAGTAAAGGAAAACGCTAGTTTTGCCATTGTACAGACACAAACCCTTGAGGACGTGACTCTTCCTTACACTTCGTTTCCAGTCTATCAGCAAATCTTGTTATGTCCGCCTTCTACATCCAGCCCGGCCAGCATCTTGCTGCTGTCCTGGCCCAGGGCCCCATTCTCTCTCGTTGGATCATCGCTGTAATTCCTAGTTGATCTCCCGTCTTCTGCCTTTGACCCCTTGCCGTCTGTTTTCAACAGAGTAGCCAGGGCGATCCTCTCCAAGCACCAGGCAGATCACATCATTTCTCTGCTCCCTCCAAGGCTCTGGTTTCATTCACGGGAAAAGCCGAAGTCCTTACTATGACATGTGGGCCTCACACAATCTGGTCCCTGCTACTCTGCCCTCATGCCCCTCCGCCGTGTCCGGAGTGCGGGGGCACACTCCCACCCTGGTGCTCTCCGGCGTCCTGTCCCCTCTGCCCAACCACTTTCCCGCACACACATCCATGGCCAGACCTGCATTTCTTTCTGTCAATGATCCCTGCTCATTGAGGCTGTCCCTGGCCAGTGTACCTGAAGCGGCAGCCGTGAGTGCGCCCGGGCCCGTTCCTGCCCTGTTCCCCTCCTCATCACTTATCACCAAGTACGTAACATGATGGGTGTTTCAGTGAAGGATTTTCGTGTCTCTCCCCACTAGAATATGAGCTCCATATGCCAGAGACTGTTGCCTGTTTGTTCACTGTGGTGTCTCCGGTCCCTGGATGAGTACCTGTGACCCAGCAAGTGCTCAACAGACATTGAGCAAGACACTCAGTTTTATGTCTTGCTTTTCCCTTTCTGTCGTGTCCCACGCAGCTCTCACGTTGTCATGCACTCGGCGTTGCCGTGATTGGTAATGGCAGTGTGACCTCACTTCCAGTGTGTGCGCTCTCATTTACTTGGCCATTCCTATGTTGTTGGATTGTATAAATTATTGCCAGTCCACTGCACTGTAAATAATGCTGCAATGAACATGTTTTGGTTACTGCATTTCTAATATTGGACTTATTTTTTAGGATAGATTCACAAAAGTTGCTATTTTTAAAATAAGAGAACATGATATTTAATCACTGGGTTTTAAAAAACGTTTTCAAACCCTGGCCGGTTTGGCTCAGCGATTAGAGCGTCGGCCTGTGGTCCATAGAGACCCAGGTTCGGTTCCTGCTAAGGGCACGTACCTCAGTTGCAGTTTGTCCCTGGCCCTGGTTGGGTCGTGTGGGTGGCAGCCACTCAATGTGTCCCTTTCACGTCAATGTTTCTCTCTCTCTCTCTTTCTTCCTCTCCCTCCCTCTCGCTGTATCTGAACAAAAAATGAAAAAATGTCCTCAGGTGAGGATAGATAAATAAATAAATGAATGAATAAATAAATAAGTAAATAAATAAATAAATAAATAAAACACATTTTCAAGAGGAGAGATCACTTTTTAAAAATCGGTGCGTCTTCCAGTTGAATGTAGAGCGACAGTGTTTATAAGCTTGAATTGTTAAGGTATCTGGTCACAAATAAAAGTTCATTAAAATTTGGTTATTAATGTTTTTTTTTTTTTTTTTTTTTTGGTGGTATGTGCCCCTAGCGGGAACTGAACCTGGTACTCTCTGGTCCGCAGGCCTACGCTCAACCGCTGAGCCAAACTGGCCAGGGCAGGTTATTAATGTTTTAAAAAAATCAGTGTATCTTCTCTGTGAGGCTCTAGTAGAAACTGGTTGTTTCCCCAGGCGGGTCCTCCTAGGAGACTACGGCACAGAGACCCCCCAGAGCGGACTGCCCTGCATGCCCCGCTGACATCTCTTCCCCACCAACACTCAATTTTCATGAGAGGTTAGCATGCCAAACATTTGTTGATTGTTTATTATTTGTAATGCATGTGGGAGAACTCCGAGGATCAATGTGATACCAGGTCTGGCACCAAGAAGCTTGTGACAAGGACATCCTAGACTTTTACCACATCCTGGATTTGTGACGCTCCAGCTCTCGATTTCTCATTCATACGTTCTCTTGGGCTCCAACATGGCTGTTGGACTCATTACTCCATGACTTCCATGTACCTCCGAGTCAGTGCCTCCAAATCTCTACTGTCTAACCCATTTGTTCTCCTGTATTCACCACTGACAGCTACTTATCGAAGCTGGGGACCTGAGAGTCCTTCCCAATTCCTCCTCTCCCTTGTCTCCCCTTCTTGTCCCCCATCCAACTGACCGCAAGGTTCTCCAATATTCTAAAATATTTCTCCAGCTCAGCCGGTGCGGCTCAGCGGATTGAGCTTCGTCCCATGGACTGAGAGGTCCCGGTTCAATTCCCAGTCAGGGCACATGCCTGGGTTGTGGGATCCATCCCCAGTAGGGGGCGTGCAGGAGGCAGCCAACCGATGTTTCTCTCTGACATCGATGTTTCTATCTCTCCCTTCCCTTCTCCCTAAAAAAAAAAAATCAATACAAATATATTTTAAAAATTAAAATAAAT